AAAGAAAATAAAAAGCAAAGATTCACTACAAAGAAGTTTCGTGTTACGGGAATTGTGATATGTCTTTAATGGTCACAAGCCAGTTGTGAATCGATAGGTAGCTGCTATAAAACAATATCTACTCGAAATCAGACTTTAATAATAGTCATGAGTGTCGAAGTGATACACAATATCAAGTACGCGACGAGTAATGACAATGCCAAAATGCTTGGATCCTTCAAATGAAATTTCCGAAGCAATAGATTTCGATTATGAGCAAGTAATATTTATCGTGAACATCAAAAGCAGAAGCTACTTCGAGCTCTACCACTACTAGAAACATTCATATAACTACTGTCGAAGAAATCCTATCTCCGGATTCTTCCTGAAAACAAATTTCGACTATCCGACAAAATTTAATGAACATGCTGCCTATTGTAATCGAAACAAATACTTCATCCACTTCAGACTACCGATGAGATACTATGTAACTGACTGGTTTCAACACAGAACCTTGCACCGATGTGCAGCAGTTCGAGCTGGCTCGCTCCCATCATGATGCACTCAAAGCAAGACAATAGAGTTACAGAGATTCAAAACAGAGACAATAAACAGGAATATCAGGCAAAAAGAATATAATTAAGGGAGAACATTAGGATTTTATTGGATATTATAAATCACAAAGAGAAAATGCATCTGCGTCATCATTGACAACGACGATTTGAAACCATATCACCGATTGTCTCCAGCCACTGGTTTTTACCATACAGAGGACCCCCCACCAGTCAAGAAGTCTACACCTTCCTACGTGGCTTAAACCAACTGTTGTGGATTTTATTGACTGGTGACATGTTTTCATTTGACCGCCACTAACTCTTTTCTAACCTGATTCACCCTATATCAGCTAACATTGCCTATTGTCGAGGAAGGCGATGGCTAGGCACACGTAACACACGTCCTAACCATCCCAGTCGATGTAATTTCACAGACTCGTCGATTGATTTCCCCTCCTTACTTATCACTCGGCGCCTAACCTCAATATCGCTCCCCTGACTATACCACCAGTTCACACGGGAGACAGAACGTAGACACCTATGATCAAAGACAACTAGCCAGCCTTTTCATGTCTTCCCCTCTTAATGGCTAGGTCTCACAGCTAGCCATAAGGGACGAAGGAGCGGACTGCTGAGCAATACACACGCCCTTTGTTCGATAGCCAGTCGGATATCACGTCTACGCTAGAGACGGCGAAAACTGACATATGCGAAACTAGCCCTCTGTGCCCGTGCTGATTTCGTCAGAGATCTAACCCGTTGGAGCTGATGCAACTTCCCAAATAAGTGAAGCGGTCAACATGGTCTACTACTTCACTCCCTATTTCAAAAGTTGGAGTCAGTGTAGTCTAGTCTTATAACATCATCTTACATTTGGTGAGATCGATATTTCCTGATACAAATGCAGTAAATTTAACGCAGTCAAAGTACATTATGCCGTCGATACTATGTACCTCAGAAAAAGTATTAAATGTAAAATTCCACTTAAAACTTATGCACAAATATCACTGCTCACTAAAGCATCACATCAAAGGACAACAACGCTACAATTAGCTGGGACATCCAATATAGCCACACTTTAAATATCGGATTTGCATCATACTAATGCCTGAATTCTCTGGAGTTGTATCAGTGCCAATTTCTGCTTATGAACAATTTGACTATAACTAAATCCTGCTGTATTTGATTCTCCATAATTTCCGTCTTCGAATATAAACAATAATATGCTATGCTTCAAACAGAATTTATCCAAATTGAATATTGTTCAAAACAGTTTTAGCTAAAACACAAAGCTCATCATGCAGAAAAGCTGATAACTTTCAATTAACATCTATATCAAATACATTAAAACTATATTTCAATGGTTTAAACACAGTTATAAGTTGTGTTTTCGGTAATATTTCCAGCAAAATTACTGCCCGTGATCACACGAGCTGTTGGAATTGTTTTATTAATAATACCGAAAAAACCCTTATCATTCTGTGTAAACAACAGAAAAATAATTGCAACTTTATTTGATCAATTCCACGACGATCAAACTTTTCACCGAAATTAAGTCATCTACATAAATTCTTCATTTATATATATATATATATATATATATATATATATATATATAGTGTTGCGTAATATCTTCAAATGTTGGTTCCCCACGACCTCTCTACATAAATTACTAACCAGCGGGGTCCCTCAATTCACAGAACTCATCAGCGAATGATTATTCCATAAAACAACTTAATGGGAATTAGGAAACATATATCATTTCCTGCCCACCCAGAGAACTAGCTAGCTCTCATTCAATACTTAACGCAAACGTGGGACTGCTCATCATAGAATTAACTAATTTTAAATGGATAGAAAAAGCTTATCATCCTATTTAGGGGAACCTTCGACGGCACGCACCCACGGGGGTTGTAACCCAAGTCCTTCCGATTACAATTCAATCTCGCATACCTTTCAGTCACTGGGACCTGATTAAGTGGCTGATAGCTATGCGAGACTGCTTTGTAACCGGAAGGTCTTGGGTTAGAACCCCAATGCGTGCGTACTGCATATGATTCCCAAAATAAGATGAAACAGCCATCCAGTTTTCCCTGGTTCTCTAACTGACAGGAATCCGTGATCAACTCGTAAGTAAAGTTTGCTTATGCTGACATTACTTTGTGATCGGAAAAAGTATCTAAACTGGTCACAACCATCATAAGTCTGGAAACGGACCTCTCCCGTCTACAAGTCAAGTGAAACATGCACTATGATATCCACCGAATGAATTGCTTTTCTCCCCCATAGTCAGAAGTCTTTCATGAACGCATGAACTAAGCAGCAGTTATTCGGTGGAAGCTATGTGCTATTTCCTCACTCTGCAGTGGACTACAATCCTACTGTCGTATTGGCAAACACGTACAATAACAAACTACAGAATGAAGCTGAAATAATCGGTAACGACATTGAGACGAGTGCACAAGTAAGGTAGGTTGGGAATAAGCAAAAAAGAACAATCGACGAGTAAGAACCAAACAGAATAGCATCAAAGTTTGAAATCCTCAGGAACACAAAATCCTGTGTGATCGCAATCAACAATTGAGTAAACCATTCTTCGTAAATCCAACCATTCCTCGGAGAACAAAATATCTCAAATAGACCACAAATATGATAGTGGCTGATACTGTTCAATTCTGGATGCAGTATCAAACTTATTCCAAGTACAGTTTAAAACCAACAAACTCGTGCACTACATATATGAAAGACGAAGATGGAGAGCACGATTAGTGACCAACTAATACAAATTCACAAAACAAATTGCCAATTCATTCATATCAATTGGAACTTTCATACGAAATTACACAAAGAACCCTGATTTATTTAACCTCAAACAAGAACCCTGAATCCATGTAGAGAAGTCGCCTCGAGGATAGTTGTTACATCTTAGCATCAACATTCATCTGACCAAACTTAAGGCGTTCACAATCCAGCCATAGTGTAACAAATAGTGGGTTAATGTAAAAAATAACCTTTGTGCTTTTGGTGAATATTAAAACCAACCTCGCCATCCGTTGGGCTATAAACATGGATCCTGATCCCCTACATATCTTCAACAGCCCCTTTGATAGTAACTGCTCAATGTTTCGACCTAATGACCTAGCCAGGGTGCACCATTTCATCGCAAACTGGAAGTAAGAGATTACTTTCTTTTGCTCGGCAGTTGTTCTTACAACACAAATGTAGTACTTTCATAGTTCAGCTGACCAGTGAAACACCAAGGAGAACGCCACTTTTGCCTGAACAGTTGTAACTGGCAGTATAGCGGAGGCTACGCGAAGTAACCGCAGACAATACTAAGCGTTGGTTACTAAGAAGAATTTGAACATACCACATCATAGAAAGTGAACTAACCTAAATGCAGGAAATGAACATGAATCAAGACAAATAAGGAGATAAAGCATCCAGTCTTAATACATAACCTTTATTAACTCACTCTTCAGATGTCCGGAGGGGATTGCGAAGGTTGCCCAACCACATCTAACCTAATATTTAGGCGATTACTATCTCTTGCAATCGTCTATTAACAGTCTTAATAAACTGAGTAATGCCTAATAGGATGAGTGAGGCAACGAACATTTTAAGTGAGCAAAACAAATAATTTATTATAGGAATTCCCCGTCAAAACTGCCCCACAGAAGCCAAAGGTGAAGTTTATTTGCAAACTAACTTCTTAACTATCATTACTCGACACTGGAAAACCAAAGTTTGTGGATGTAACTAGCCTTGTAACAGTTTATCAACCAGCCAAGTTCAACCACTTAAGGAAAAGATCTTATTGTAGCAGAAACAACGATGGGCTTTTCTTACTTATTGTGAATACGGAAATCGAGACCTTAAAGTATGAATTCTAAATGGCACAAATTACCAAACTTCTTTCCATATGATTAAGTCTTTGACTTCATTTTAACAGATTTATAAACAGCTAGTTAGCAAATGACTAAATATGCATGAACGTACCTGACAACAAGAACGCCGAGAAGCTGTTCTTGGAGTGATGCCTTTCCAGACTGATGTTTGTCAACATACAGGTGACACTCAAAGTGATGCTTCGACCAACCTGAGTGAATACGTGGGCGATTTTGACTTGATGGTGGCATACAGCAACCGCTTAACTTACTCTGACGAAAGTCGACTTACCCCGCATGAAGATTGCAGGATCCAAAAAAAAACCTAGGCCTTAACAAGAAAAGTACGTAATAATTACAAAGTTATGCCTACGGCTATCCAAACATCAATGACTATACAGTTGAATCTGTTGCTCTGTTACAGTTCATAAGAATAGATAGGCACATGTGACATACCAAATTAAATTTGCAAACCCGGAAAATCCCACTGAACGAATCAAAGAAAAGAAATGCTGATTGATGTGTATATATTGACAAATGCAGTGGTCAACAGATATTCATACTATTTACAAATCTATATTCAATTTGAAGGTTGCAACAGTGTTTTTGCTGTCACTGAATCAGGAAATAACTGGTGGTAGTTAATTAAAGGAACATAGGCTGCTGTGATCAACCGACCGGAGAAGTACCGACCATGTAACATGTTTACACACTGAGTGGCAACTGCAATGCTAGGACACTTGACATAAACATTTCCCTGAGCACTAGTACGATCCACGAAAATGTGAAGACACCCACCCAATTTCGTACATTCTTCTATTACGTCATCTCGTATTTCTTCGAAAACCATATGGGTGGCCACGTGGGGATCAAACATATTGGAGAGCATAAAGCACTGAGTGCATACAGGGGGAGCGATAGCAGATGACGAGCTGACACTGCCTGCTGACCCCAAAATGGGGTTATTTTGACCAATGTGTAGTTGAGCTAGGGCTGCTTTCGGGATTTCTAAGCCAGTTCCTTCGGCGAGTTTCGCCATTAGAGCCAGTCTGCCCGTTGTGCCTAGGTCCACGCCGGCACGATCTGCTTCATCATTGTCCAGAGCACTAAGGCAGGCATACTCACTACGTTCCGTCACATGATTTACCTGAAATGTAGAGTCTAGAATATTTCTAACTCACCTTCATCGGTCGCCCTGCCAACTCGAATCCATTTAGTTGATCCAATGCCTTTCTGGCATCATCACTATTCACATAGGTTACAAACCCATAACCCTGAGAACGGTTCGTGGTCGGATCCTTGATCAACTTTATATCCTCGATTTTCCCAAATGGTTCAAAGATGCCTTTCAGCATTTCTTCTGTTATGTTATAATGCAGAGATCCTATGTACAGCTTCATGGGGCCTCTGTTCTGTTGAGTTGGACGAGGTAGTGAAGGAGTAGCATTGACTCGATTTTTCTCAGCGTGGCTTTGCTGAATTTGTATCGGGACACCCAGCAGCCGAGTGCCAGTAAGTCCAAGGGCTAACTGCGCCGACTCTACTTCACGAAACTCAACATAAGCTATTCCTTTTGATCTCTTTGTTTTGTTATCCATTATCAAACGCACGTCTCTGATCTTACCAACAGAAGTGAAGAAATCTTCTAAGTCTCTCTGTCGAATACGAGCAGAAAGTTGCCATACAAAAACTGTCCTTGCATCCCTCTCCTCTGGAGTGAGTTCAGGACTGAAAAAGTAAACTCGATTGAAACACAGGGAAACTTACGACTTGTGACGTCTTTCACTCCGAGAAGACTTGTGTTCCCCATCTCTTCCTGACCGATGTCGGTCCCGGTCACGTGAACTGTGACGGCGCTCGTGCCGTCCCCGATCAGGATCATACTTTTTGTCCCGTCGGTGTTCTCGGCTTCTGCTACGTGAGCGGTGTCTGCGGAAATAATCAAGGTCACGGAAATTCTACCTTCTGCTTCGATCCCTGGAACGCGACCGACCACGTCTTCGGTGACCATTTGACTTTGAATAGCCCTATTGAGCGACAACATTAGCAGATTCAGGAGGTGGAAGGGGATAAAAAAGACAGGCAGCAAAATAAATACTTTCGTCAAACATACCGAAATAATCAATTGATAACTACAGTTGTAGAAAAGGGCCAGACGTCCACAACGACGTCAACGGTGATCGTAGACCCAGAGTATCCTAACAAAACATAAAGAACTTCTGTCAATATCGCGTAACATCATTAATTACAAGCCAAGGGACCATAAACTGATGACTAGTCAGACCTACCTCTCGAGCATAGTGATCCTCAAGCATGGCCTCAACGTCTATATCGTCTGTCATTGTTCCAAAGTTGTATAAAGACCAATTTTATGTGCCAGTCTAGCGCTATTGGAGGCGGATAGCTCGATTACGCGACCTACAGCTCCGAGACTTAAAGTGTCCGCCGAACGGGCGATCAAGATGGCATTAGAGTAGTCAAACAAAAAATAGTTTTTTTCAATCAATAACCAGGACTTATTAAGTGAGCAAGTACTTCAAGTGCCTATAATTATATCAAAAGACATTTGGCGCGGTTATCCACCTTTCCGATAAAGCAAAACCGTGGAGTAATGAGAAATGTCATTAAGCTTGCATTGGTTTATCTGATTTCGAACAGAGTCCATAAGTCCCCTGTGAGTATGATCATTGCACACAAAGGATAAATAGGAACTGGAAAACGTAGATCATTTCCTGCCTACCTAGAGAACTAGCTGGCTCTCATTCAATACTTAACGGAAACGTGGGACTACTCATCATAGAAATAACTAATTTTAAATGGATAGAAAAAATGTCAATAAAAAGTGTGGTATCATGAATGACAGTCCATATACAGCCAAATGAAGCCAATGTCCAACATGTTTACCCTGATATTCCTGCTTCATTCTAATTTCATCGGTATAACAAATGTACCACATATAGCGAAATTCATCAGTTGTTAATTTTCTTTTGTTGGTTTGTTAGGTCAAGATTTTTTACTTGTTGATAACGGATTCATTTCATTTAGAGAACCACTAAAACCCAGGGAGTACTGGAAAGCTGTTTCATCCGATTTCATCCTTCGACGGCACGCACCCACGGGGGTTGTAACCCAAGTCCTTCCGATTACAATTCAATCTCGCATACCTTTCAGTCACTGGGACCTGATTAAGTGGCTGATAGCTATGCGAGACTGCTTTGTAACCGGAAGGTCTTGGGTTAGAACCCCAATGCGTGCGTACTGCATATGATTCCCAAAATAAGATGAAACAGCCATCCAGTTTTCCCTGGTTCTCTAACTGACAGGAATCCGTGATCAACTCGTAAGTAAAGTTTGCTTATGCTGACATTACTTTGTGATCGGAAAAAGTATCTAAACTGGTCACAACCATCATAAGTCTGGAAACGGACCTCTCCCGTCTACAAGTCAAGTGAAACATGCACTATGATATCCACCGAATGAATTGCTTTTCTCCCCCATAGTCAGAAGTCTTTCATGAACGCATGAACTGAGGAACAGTTATTATTTTATTTTTTTACTTTTGATAATAGCTTGATCCCACACCTTTTTATTTGATACAAGTATGAAATTTTAGCATGTGATATCAGTAGCTCAAATTTTGTTGGCAGCCCATAGATATCTAGTGTGCATATGCAGGGATTTAACCCCTCACCATGCGCGTGGTTGGTGAGAGTCCTAACCGCTGTGCCACCGACACATTGTGGAATCTTTGGACTAACTCTACAGTAGACTACAATCCTACTGTCGTATTGGCAAACACGTACAATAACAAACTACAGAATGAAGCTGAAATAACCGGTTACAACGACATTGAGACCAGTTCGCAAGTAAATTATTTTGGGATTTAAAATATTAGACTGTCCGCCATCAGCTGGGATATATTCTGATGCCCGGAAATACGCATTACTTCTCGTTATTAGTCAGTGTGTCATTCAGATCCTATGAATTTCGGACCCATGCGCGTATTTGAACGGTTCTGGAAAGGATTGTGAAACGTGCAATTTTTACTCCATCTCTTTGGCGGAATCTTATCACTCCTTGTCAGCACCATTTCATAAATCGACATTCTTGCACGTCATACCATTTACAGCCTTTCGATTGCATTTCATAACATACGGATTCTGGTATGATCAGGCTGTTTGTATAACTAGATCTTTGTCAAACATTTGGCACTACTGGCCACCCACTGTTAGTATCAGAAGTCGTTTCACATGGGATTCAAGGAAAGTTGTTGAATTTGCTGAATTTGTTTGTGTGCAGATTTTCACAATAGGTTCCCTCATATCTCTGCCTTCTTCTATGACATCCGGGATTTCGCAGGGCAGTGCCCTCAGTCCACTACTTTTTTTGTTGTATTTGAGACGTTGTCAAATATGGCAGACCTTTTCTATTTGCTGAAGACATCAGGATAATTGGTCATGGGGACAGCCTGTCAAGCCTTTCGTTGGGATTCAAGATAATTTTTATAACTTTTATTTGTGGTTAACCGCCAGGTAAATGAAGTCTAACGTTGGAAAATATGCAGTACCCCTATCCAAAAACACTTCATATCAACTTGCTATCTTCCGACAAAATATTCACATTGCTTGCCTGCTGATTACAGAAGATGTTGGTTTGAATTTAGCTTTACAGAATATATATTGAATTATAAGTATCAAAAGTCAAAAGGCTATTTGGTTTTTTACTCCGAAATTTCAGGACATTTAAATCTGAAATTCGGCTGTGTGGGTTAAACATAGAACCCTTACTTGAATTCTGTCCCCCCATCATGGAGAATGTCTCAATAAAAGACAGGTGGATATAAGAAAATCTAGGTGAAAATCTCCGCATATCTAACCATCACAGATGCAACATATTCTGCGTAGAACCCTTATAGATAGGACGAATGAAGTTCAACCTAAAATAAATCTTTGCCCTTTAATGTGCCACATTTTCAAATGTAATACAGATCTAATTTCTCAGCTATAAAAACCCATCGTGTTTGAAGCCATCTTCCAGTTGAAATCAGAAACAGTCTTACTCCACAAGTGCTCTCGTCCTTACTGGACAAATACTAAGATCTTATATGGTGTCTTTCCGATGATTACCATTAGCTCCTGAAAACCAGATATTCATTCTTTCTAGTATAATCGTTCATAAAACCCAAGCCATCCATTCACACTCAGGTTTTTCTTTATTTTTCACATAAGTCTCTAATAATATCGTGTCAATGTAGTTGAAGAATGAACGATCAATTCACGGTTGTTTACTAAAAACCAAATTCCCCATATTCTCGCGGAGTCATCAATCCGTCAGTCATCGTCTCGTCGTTCGCTGTCCGTTGGAGGACAGAGAAAAAACTATCAGACGTTGTCAATGGAGTTGAAGAATGAACGATCAATTCATGGTTGTTTGCTCAAAATCAACTTCCCCAATTTTCGCGGAGGCATAAATACGACAGTCATCGTCTCATCGGTCGCTGTTCAGAAAGAAGTCATCAGTAAACCATCAGAAAACTTAGTAGAAATATTTTTTATATATATTGGTGTTACAATAAAGAATTCCCAAGCGGCCAATCGGTGTTTTGGTTTTTTCGTCCGTTATAACTAAGCGTTTCTGAAAAACTGCAAGGAACAGCGTGGGCTCGAGCGTATGAAGAGCTGAGCATTAACGGTTTATGAGACGTGGTTGACAGTTTCTGATGGCAGAAACAGATTCTGGCCGATTCAGATAGCTGGTAACAGTTTGGATAGTCACCGTTCATCTTTCCTGGTGCCGGTCAAGTCCTCTTTGAACAAGCAATATCTGGAACGTTTTTGGAATTGGGTCAAGTTCAACAATGCCTGGGTCAAAGAAGGGACAGAGTGTCTTGGATGCAAACAGGAAAGTAAGTCATGGTGACTTGTCTGTTACTTGTAACGATGTGTCTGATGTTAAGCATGACATGGTTGGTGTTACTGTTTCGCCGTTCAGGGATAATAGGAACATCAAAATCCCTAAATTTGAACCACGGTGTTTCGATGGAAACCCGGCTGATTATTTACAATTTGTAAAGGAGTTTGAGATCATGTTGAGTGGTTTTTCATTAACTGATGAAATGGAGTTAATGTATTTGATGAGGTATTGCACTGGAGACGCTGCAAGAGCTATACAGTGTTGTAAGTTTATGAAGCCAAAAGAGGGCTACTACGAGGCTATGAGCATATTACGTCAAAGGTTTGGAAGACCTTCAATGATTGTAAGGAACGTATACGAAGCTGTCAAAGGTAACGGCAATCAGCTTCAAGATGACTCCAAGGCACTCACTGAGTTTTTAGATAATCTCATGACTTATAAGAATACCTTGATTTCTATGAATTGCATGAGTGACCTCAACTCGAGTTTTATACTAGAAGTAATAGCAAGACGCCTACCTACTCGACTGCAAAGGAAGTGGGTGAAGATGAGCTCCCGTATGGAGGATGAGGGTATCGAGCCAAAGTTCGATGACATTCTGAAGCTGTTAAACAATAGTGTCAATCAATCTACGAGCAAGTTCGCAAGTATATTGAATCTCACCCCTCGAATAGAGCAGTCTGAGAGCAAAATGCAAACATTAATGACGAATATGCCTCAGAGAGGTGGATATCGAGAAGGCTCCATGATGTCTAGTAATGCATATAGACCTAGTGAGTGTAACAGATTTCGTAGTACATCTTCAACAGATAAGTTACAAGATGCAAGACAAACACGGTTGTGTTTCACACGTTTGCAAGAAGTGCGTACAAAGGTGAACTGTGAACCAGTGAGCAAGTTCAGTGATAAGCTAAATGTAAACTCCAGGTCTGACTCCGAATTGTGTGACGATAACGGTGTGGTGAAGAAGTCTGTAGTTGCAACTGGTAAGCCGTTGTTGAATAGAGTGTCACAGAATAGAGTTGCTGCTTCAGAGTGGAGTTCTGACCCTACAAGTTTACAAGGTATTACTAGTCAGAGTGAAGTTATAAAACCTTTAGGGATTTGCGAGGAGGAACCAAAATTGTCTACTTCTGTTATTAAAGAGTTTGAAGATGATGAAGTTGACGGCAAAGTGGATATTCGTGATAATGATCATGATACTTCACAGTTGTCTTTGTTTGATCATGAGTAGATTAGGGATATGCCTACTACTGCTAATTTGAAACAAGTTTCTGTACAACTACAACGTGAAGTAGAATTGAACGCAGATGCAGTTCCAGAAGATGTGCATACTTGTGAGACAGTCAGTGTAATTGATCAGCGTGTAGCCCACCTATCATCAGATGATAGTGCTAAACCCGAACTAGTAGTGAAAGACAGCAGTGGT